TCGTTCGAGGCTGGGTGAGATCGTATAACTCGTGAGTAAAAGTCGATTTAAGCACATTCCAAGTCGATATATAAGCCTTTGACAATGATTAGTGCCGCGATTTGGATTCCGTTTAAACAAAGGAGGCCCTGTCCAAATTAGCCTTAGCAGCAAAAAGAAGACCTTACCTCGACATTTACTGTAATTTACATTACATTAAAATATTTATATTTGTATCTGTATTTATAGATTTTAAATATATTTTTTTACTTTTTTTTGCTTCTGCCACAAATGGAGAAATGCCCCTTGAAATGTTAAGAGTCCATTTCACTAGTCCGAAAAAGTAACAAAATAAGCGTTCGGCATTTAACGTTTTATGTAAAACTGGCTAGGTATTTTTACACAAATGAAGAAGGAAATTAAAGATAAAGGATTATACTATATCCGTATTGTAGCACATTTTTAGACAACTTCTTTATTTTTAAGATTTTGATGGTCAAACATCAACAAAATATTACTTTTATTTGGACTCAATTTTCTCGAAAATAAAGATATAATTTAAAATTCCGTTACAATGCGGAAATAGATTGAAGTTTTGTGATTACAATGATATATAATTTATATGGTTTTGTAACAAATTGCTCGCTATTTTATGGCAAATGCTGAAGCTCTACAAACCATAATCAAGCCTTAATCAAAGCACCCGTGTTTGGAATTTTGGATGTGGCTTAATACGACAGGATCAGGCTAAGCCTTAGGCAGATTTCTGAAATATAATATACAGGGTGGTCCGAATTGTATTCCGGAAACTTCGGCAGCATATTCTGCACATAAAAACAAGTAAAAAAGTTCGTATAAATGTGTGTCCTAAAATGCTGAGTTTCGGAGATAAGAAATTATATAAATTTTATATTATTATAAAATAGAAGTTTCATTTTTATTTCGATTTTTTCCAAATAATTTTTGAAGTAACGTAAATATTTGGATGAAAATTGGTGTCTAGGAGTTTTTTGACATGAGAAATTTGATTTTGATGTCAATATGACTCCTGCTGGTAGAGGGCGCAACCTACATATGTTTTAACTGTTTTGAAGCGTAATAACTTTTGTCCGTACCTGTATAAAACTACAGAGGGTAAAAATATACATCTCTGCGACTTTCTACGCAAAAAATATCTCTTTGTAAAAATCGCTACGAGCAACCGTTCTCAAGATACAGTAGAACTCGGTTATAGCGAACCCGGGTTATAACGAACAACGAACACTTGGTTTTAACGAACAATTGATCAAGTACGAATTATGTTTCCATATAAACACGTGCTTTTTATGGCTGGATATAACGAAGCCATTTATAACGAACAATCGGTTTAAACGAACTCTTTTATCGGAAAAAATCGCAGGTCGGATCGGTTATAGCGAACAAATTAGCGAGCATATGTTTTACTGTCCTGGCCAATCACGTAGCAGTAATATCACGCCACCCACGGCAATAATAAATCGTAGTCAGTTTTAGTAGTTAAACGAATTTCGGGCGTTTAAGTCGTTGGTGTTTGGTAGTACAGACTTTGTATCAATCGATGAAAATGCAGTAACGACTGAACTTCCAAGCGATGTTGAACTAATGACGCCAGAGGCTGAAACCATTGATCTCGCCATTGATTCAGAAAATGAAGATGGAGAAGATGAACCAAGTGACGAAGTACCAACCGTTTCAAAAACTCTTCATTCAATGACTGCAGTTTCACAGTTCTTACACTATTCTGGTGCCGATTCTAGTGTATTCAGTGCATATGATAACTTGTATTCTTACATAGAAAAACAAACTTTTATTAAAAATAAGGTTCAAAACAAAATGACCGACTACTTTTTACCAAAAAGTAATTAGGCAATGTTTAAAGTTTCGCAGGTTCTTTTGTACATTAGAATACATCTGATACGTATTTTTTATAATTTACATACATATTATGTATCATGTATTTATTTATTTATTTACCTACATACCTTAATCTGCATTTATGCGTTTATATTTCTCATTATGTGTGCCAGTTTGTTTTCCGCATTATGGATACATAACTTCATACAGTATGGATTTTCCTGCATTTTTTAATATATGTACTTATGTAGCACATATGTATACATTTTTGAAATACAGTTTTTTTTATGATGTTTAATACGTATGTAGTTTTTTATTTCAAAAAAATATAAATTAACAAAAAACTGGATATAACGATCACTCGGCAATAGCGAACAAATGTTTTGGTCCCTTCAAGTTCGTTATAACCGAGTTCTACTGTATTTAGAATGGAAATAGTCAATACATGTCATTATTGACGAAAAACGAACACGTTGAGTAAATAGTTCTTTCGCTGAAATAATAAATTTGGGAAATTTTTATTTTTTTTAAATTAATCATAAATTTTTCTTCAAAAAAATGATGATAAAACAGTTTTTGTTGAACTTTTGGCACACAAACTTTTAAATTTATGATCTCAGTCTAATAACTATTTAATCAACATGTTTAATATATGTCAATTATGACAGGTATTGATAATTTCGATTCCAAATATCTTGAAAACCAATACTCGTAGCGATTTTTACCAAGAGACATTTTTTACGTAAAAAACGTCGTAAATGTATATTTTTTTGCTCAGTCATTACTCTTCAAACCAGTTAAAAATATGTAGGTGGCGCACTCTACTAGTAGGAGTCATATTGACATTAAAATCAAATTTCTCATGTCAAAAAACTTCCAGACACCAATTTTCATCGACATATTGACGTTACTGCAGAAATTATTTAGAAAAAATCAAAATAAAAATGAAATTTCTACACCCTGTGTATCCGAAACTAAGCATTTTAGGACATACATTTATACGAACTTTTTTACTTATTTTGATCTGCAGAATATGCGGCCGAAGTTTCCGGAATACAGTTCGGATCACCCTGTATAGTTCCTTAGGCCACTCGCCCACTATACCCGACCCCTGAGAGCGACCCGAACAGTACAGCGTAATATACTCTTAAGCATTTAATGTTCTACATAGTGCAGATTCTACATAGTGGCATTTTACAAAAAATAACTTTTCTATTTGTTATGATTGTCTTTCAGTGGCGAAATACCAGGATTACTTTAAGTTATATTTATGGTTACGAATTTATTTTACGCGTAGCGATTTACAAAGTGTCCTTAGATTCTAACCTCAGTGACATTACAAAAAGTTGTTTCCTGTAAAGTAATAGTTTCAGTGTTCATTAAAACAGGACTTATATCAGAGCCAGATAACAATTAATTGCCGAACCCAAATTAAATTCTTATCGTATTTTTAGACACTAAATATGAAAATATATCCGCCAACACCCACACCGTCAAACATATAAATACTCATAGTCGCGTTTTGTGTTTACGCCGACCAATAAAGAATTTGGGACGTTTCTGAGGAATTCTAGTCTAGTTATAAATAAATATTATATATATAACCGGCAAATTAGGTTCATAAAGGAGCAACAAAGCATTGTTAAGTAGGCCAAATGGGCAGTTTAAACGTTTTAAGTTACAGTTGATTGCGCATAAAGTAAATTCCATTAGATTTGATGTACTAGCCGTTAGCCTAGGGTTCATTTTTTCTTTCGTGGTTTTTCTAGACCAGAGAGTTACACAAATTTACGATAATAGTCCAAAACAACCATGGATTATTACACCCAGATTACTACACATTACTACACAACCAGGATTATTACACATTACAACCAGTTATTGCTAACCATGTTGAGACATCGTCAAGCTGATGATGTCAGTATAATGCGTCCAGACATTAAAAGCAAATGGTTTGACCTAATGTAAGAAGAAATCAATAATGATTCAAATAATAGTTGACCATGCTATTTTAGAGGATTAGAATTAATGCTGTAAAATTATTAATCGAAAAATTTTAGCAAATTATGTAGCATTTCTATATCTTCTTAAAAATGTACAAGTCTTGACTATGTACTTATTTGTGAAATCATTCATGAAGAAATTCATTCAATGTAAGAAATTACAATTATTCGAGAGTGTTCAAAACAAGATTTGAAATTGAACGTGATCGGGGAAGTAACATTTAATCAATATATAAAATTGCAATTTTGAGCACGGTTTAATTATTTATTATAAATTAAAAACGTAGTTGGACGATTTCAAAATATTGTTAACCAGAAGCAGAACAATAGGATAAGCCCATGTAAAAGTACGTCTTGCCTTTTAATTATATTGGTTTGTTTTGATTCTGGTGGTAACAGCCGATTAATATTCGAAGTTTTTAAATTTCTTGCCAACCAAATAAGAAAATCACAATAGCCAACTTTTTCAATCATTGTTGATCCCTCCGTATATTATATGCGGTATCTTGGTTTGGAAAAGTAATGATTTATATTATTTCTCTGGGGTATCAATTCTGATCTGTCCAACGTCTTAGGGAAGATTTCGACAGAAGATATCCAAAAATAAAAGAAAAAACACAACAAACCGTCGCGTCACTGTCAGGAATCCTTCCGTTGGACAGATTAAGGTTGATTCTCACTATACCTTCCGTTTCCATTCCATATCCATTCCATATTCGTTCCGTATTTTTATTGTATTGACGCTATACGTAAGCTCCCGTTCCGTATCAGTTCCATAATTTTTATTGTACAATTTATATCGTTACGAAAGTTTTATTTTAAAAATTTGTATCTTTTGAAAAAGGTAATAGATTTTATTAAGAGGCAAAAGAATAAACAAATATCAGCAAATTATTAACAAAGCTGGTACAAATGTAAGAACTTGACAACGCTGTTTCCGATACGCTTCAGTCCGTCCGCCAAAAAAGTGAACGGAAGGAAAGAATATGGAACGGAAGGGAAACGGAACGGATAGTGTGCATTGTCCTATTCATTTACATGGTATAATACTTCATGATGGGAAACGGAAGGGAGCTGATATGGAAGGTATAGTGAGAATCAACCTTTATATGGAAAACAAAAACACAAAATATTTAGGGATCGTACCTGATATATAAGGATGTATACTGTCTACGTCATCTGTCGTATACGGTAATAGGGGTAATAGCACTGTAGATAATCTCCGTTAAGCAATCATGATAACTGAAAAAAAGAAAAACTTTATTAGAAAATATGTAAAGTAAAAAAATGACACATTATTGACAACATATTAAAGATCAAGAGTTGTCTCGCACACCGAAGCAACGCAACATTGTCTGAATGCAATATACCGGTGGTTCAGTGTGCGACATTAGGTCATTTGTACTTATACTGTCAGTATTATGTTTTGTATCTTGCTTGTTGCGTATTGATTGTTACTCCAGTGTGTAACGCCGCTAACTGTCAAAGTTGTCAAAATAACGCGGCCCTCAACACATTATATCGTTGTCATGTTAGGGACGTTTGGTCCTAAGATTTCAGTACCGGTATCCGCTACCACAAAATACCGGCCCTATAACCGGTATACAATTAGATCTGTGGGACCGATACTGACGGTATACCGGGTTTTGACCGGAGGACCGGATGAGCCGGAATATCGGAAAGACCATTTGTGCCAATGAGCATATACCTCATGATACCGTATTAAAAAATATAAATAGAAAGTTCTCACGCCTGTAAAGTTAAGTAAATACGGTAACGTAATAATTAAATACGGTATTTTGAGAGATAAATTAGATTTCTCGGAATATATCGTAAATCTATCCGTTACCGTTATAATCTTATTGATCCAACTTAAGATTCTTATTGTTTATGTTCACATTTCCGACATATTTTTGATTTCTTGTCCAACATTCTATTTACTTATGAAAAATGAAAAAAGTACTGGAAGCTGCTGTTCTTCGGGATATAAATGGAGCGGAAATAAGATGCTATTTTACATATTTTAAATAATAGAGTAGACGCTATTGAATATCGGCGTGACGCCGTTTTTTTTTATCATAAAGTACTTAGAGTAGAACACACTTCAGCTTTGCACAAAAACCGGAAACGAAATCGTTTTATACAGGTTTTTTGATTTTCATAATAATATTATCATAAATCTATTTATCTGTACCGATTGAAACCGGTCTTTCGGGACCGATTTAAAATGGTCTTCCGGTACCGGTACTGAAACCGGTATATACCGGTCTTGTAAAAGGCGATACCGATACCGGAATATTTCAAAAGTACCGGTCCTGGTACCGGAATACCGGAAGACCGAACTTGCCTATGCCATGCCTCTCAAATATCTAAAGAAAATAAGAACGATAGTTTTTAGATTGGAATGTTACATAAAAAATAAAAACAGATCGCAGTGACGAGCTCTAATTAACTAATTCATTTAAGAAGAAGATATTCTTCTTAAATGAAGAAAACTTTCATTGTATAGCATACATTAAACCTTAATACCTTACAATGCAAAGGAAATTAAGAAAATTTAATAAAAAGTAGTTAGTTTAAAAAATTTTCTTAACATATAAAAAAAATTCTAAACTTTAGACCCTTCACAAATCATGTTTCACATCGTAGAGAGAAAAATTTCATATCAAATGTTGGCGTAACTCTGCGGCCATTTTGAATTAAAGTTTGTCTCTACCTTCTGGAGTTCAGAATTAATTCTCCTTGTATAACTTTTAATTTAATCATAATGGAGAGATCAAACCTATAAAAAAACTTCTTCAGATATTTTCCCAATAGAGATGGAGTGTATAAATTTTATATATAAAAACAAAGTATCAAGTAATTAGGTTGAAACCTGCTTAATGACAATGATATTGAAAGACACGAAACTTGCCTATTCCGAATAAAATAATGTTTAAAGCACCAAGTTTACATTCTACGAAAAGTTTATGAGCGAGTTTATCAACCGGAAAAAAATCAGGCTAAACAGACTGTACATTCGGTCTACTAAAAGAAAGTACTCGCTCGCTATCTAGGTTTTTCCGTTACGGTTTTCCGGCGACGAACGGTAAGCAACACGGAGTGACGCCACAGGTCCCGCCGTAGTCGGACTTTTAAATATTAAATGTCCTCCTCTAATGAGATTACCGCAAAGTTCGCCGACCCCTCATTAGTCAACGAACAGAGACAGACAGACGTGCGTATTGTGGCACTTGTAGCGATGTAACATACACGTACTACATCGTTACGCCATTCATACATAATATGAGCTAGCTGGCCTGAACTCTTCCGCACATTTTTCGTTTCATTTTTTTTGCTTATGGCGTTTCTGTGCGTATGTGGTGTGTGTTGTCAAGGGCACTAGTTTCCGGACATACACCGGATGAGCTACTCTTTCGCATTGCTAATTACACTGAAAATTATATTTTTTTCTACACCGTTAACATATTTTAACAGACACTTCAATATTCTTATATTCTTCTTCATATATTAGAAGTTAACCACAATAGATCTCTAAAGGTCTCAGTAGAATGGGGCGGTAGCCAGCTTTAAATTATTAATCTAATCCACATAACATGATTAAGCAAAGGAAGTTAAAAAAAATAATAAAAATATCCCAGTGGATGATTATTTAAAACAATATATATGCGCATTGTCCTCATGTGTATTTACATAATTTATGAATTTTATTGTTTGCTATATCGGCGCCAATCTAAAAAAAAACATTAAAAGAGGGACTAATACCCGAAAAAAAAAGGAATTTTTGATGAAAATTTTTAGTCAATATTTATTTATGTTTGTTTATTGATGACGACCTATATATAAACCGAGTTAATACGTAGTTTAGGGATCTTAAGAACAGCGCAAATAAAACGTAATAGGCCGGATGGAAGACAGACAGCTGGTACATAATAAATACCGATTCTGTTTGCATGTATATTCGTTCATTTTAGTCCTACTACGCCGATAAAGTAATAACCAAGATGCAGCAATTTATTTTATCATTCTCATCATCATCATTCTCAGCTTATTCAACCATTTCCAATTATGGTGTAGTATCCCTTACATACTTAAATACTCTCTTTGTAGTTGGGCCCATTGTTGTCTATGCGTGCCCAAGTTATTCCTGCTAATTTCCTAATATCATCGTCCCATCTCAGGTTAGGTCGTCCTCTAGGTCTCCTAATTCTTCGTGCTGTAATTTTTGTGGTCCGTCTGTTGTCCATCCTTCTTTCCAGGTGTCCAGGAGTTGCTTTCGTTTCGATTTTTTTTGTAATTCTCCATTTTTTAATTATATTGCTAATTTCATTAGTTTGAATGTATTGATTTTAAAATTGAATGTCTCAGGTCAAATTTTTAGCCAGCTGCTATATCGATCGGCTTTGATCATAAATATCCGAATAGTAAGATTTTAATGAGTAGTAATAAGAAATTAATAGCGAATGTTTGAACGTTAACATTCACTTATAAGCTCCAGTGATTGCTAATATTTACTACTAAAAGTTTGTTTCAAAATTACTTCTTAGTTGTTGAACTCTTAATGGCCTAGTACGAGATTATTGACAAATCAATTTCTTGAATGAAAGAATCAACCTCCTTACCATTTAATCGACGCGGTAGGACTAGAAAATATGGACTGTTAACTTGAATGAATGAACTAAAATATACAATGAGCCTACACGGAATAAATAGCGTTAAGTAGGTTATCTTAGGGTGGGAAAAAGTTCGAAAGAGAGGAAAAAATTTGCCCACAATCGCGCTACTACACATGTTCATAATTTGAATCTGATTATGCCCGCAATATCCGGTGTATGAGTTTGTAGTGTGTGTGTGTGTGTGTATGTGCGACGAGAAAAAAATGCTAGTTATTGTGCCATTAGAGGTTGTATGCGAAATTTTATGTAATACCAGATACGGTGGGTTAGCTTTAATGACACAAGGAAAAAAATATTTGGCCGTAAAGTATGACGAGTGAACCTTTAATGACATTACTTATTTTGACTTACATAATTTTTTCTTCAAGTTTTAACATATTTAGTGAATTTACTTTGTATGGAGACAACGAGGGATTATATAGAGGAAATACATATACACTGACAGCTATGAAAGACGAACACCTTAAAAATTAATTTATTTTAAAATACGATGTATTTTGCTCAAGTGAGGCGATTTTGATGATTCAAAGTTCTTCTAGTCAAATTATTTGACTTTTTAATCTCTTTTTAAATTAAAACTTAAAGTCTTCATCTGTCGATTATACGGGAAAAAACAAAATATCCTTCTTTGAGCGAATTTACTAAGTTTGAATCACCCTGTTGAATGGCTTTACAAAGCTATGTATGCATCATTGGATAGGCTTAGAGAACAAATTAACTTAGTTAACATACTGGAATTTCCATAAGCTTTAAATAATGAAAAAAACACAAGATCTATGAGTCTCACGTTGGGCGCCAAAAATAAGGGGTGTAACGGTTTTTGTTTTATCCCTTGCGTACGGCAGTTTTTGCATCAATGGATCAGTCATAGGTTCGTTTGTATTAGGCAATGATCTAAATATGTACTAGAATAAACAATAAAACAATTAAGGACACTTTAACAATTTGGGAAAATATAACGCCACTAAAATCAATAGAGTAGCCAAGAACAAAATTGATAGCAGAAAAGTAGAGACCAAAATCAAGAATATTAATAACATACAAAGGCAGATTTAGATTGAATAATAACTAAAGAATTACACACTTATTTGATTAATTATTTATGTATAGATGTACAAAAGTTATCGACACAACACACTTAACCTCAAAATAACAAGGTAACCATAGGAATCCTAAAGACATTATCACGCTTGCTTTTTTTGTTTGTCTTCGACTCGCAGGTAATTACATAATGGACTATTGAAGTAGCCTTATCAAAATTCGACAAATACATTTATTTACGTGGCACATAATTGTCATTAGATACTACAAATTGCCGTTCCTCTACTGTAATTTATAGTGTTAATGGTAATTAAATATTTTCGCCTGCATCTAACTGGGCAATTTGTACATTAATTTCAGCTTAATGGCCGTTTTGTATTTACAAGTAGGTATTTGATAATAACGCACAGATGGTTGACAAAACTATCATTTAGCAGTTGATAAATATTGAGCGTGGTTACACTATAGAAACTCATATAAGTGTTGAAGTAATAGAAAAATTCTTCTTATAAGAACCGCTGTTGG